TTTTTAAATGGCTGAGTTGACCTTTTCTCCAGAATTATACATACTGGTTAACAATGATATGAAGTCATTGGGAACAAATTGAGGATCAAAGTAAAACACATTTTAACGATGGAAAAAAAAAAGACCTGTGATATGTGAGAAATAGTGTCGCTTAAGGGTATAAGTTTAACTTGACTTGATCCTCGAAGGTATTCCATTACACACGAACCTCATGCGGTTTTTCCTGCTTGGGAGCTCTGCCAGGGTCCCCGGGCAGAACTGGCCCTCTTCAGTCTGATGTTTGACCACAACACGACTGCCGACCAACAGACTTTCCACTTTCGGCATGTAGTCAAAGGCGATGTGGTGGCCGGAGACGAGGCTCTTCCCCTTGCTCTCAAATTGGATCTTATATTTCATCCGTCCATCTTCTGCAAAAAAAAGAAAGCAAAGATTCTAAATACTATTTATTCTATATTACTTATTAAAAGCAAAAAACCTCTTTAGACAATGTCAGCAATCTGCAAAACTAATTTGTGTTGTCTACATTTTGCCTCATCTAGGATGTTATTGGGCTGCTCATTATGGGCCTACAACTATATCCTTACAGTAAGCATTACAACTATTTTAACATCTAAGCTGGAATTTACAAGTCAGTTGTCTACAGTTTTCACATGTTCGGACAGATTATGACCATGTGGTGCCATCAATGCCAACCGTCTGATTTTGGGGGACAACTCAGTGATAAAATGTAACTCAATTTTATTTGTGTTAGTGTGGACATGGCCTTGGTCACAGGTTATATGAGACTACTTACAAATTGTATAAAAAACTATTTAGTGAAATGGAATGATACTGTTACCTAAAAAGCCTTGAAGATTTTGCAGAAATGGGCTTAATGAGCAATACTTTTGTTAATAAATGTACTTTTCCCATATGTACTGGACATGAGAATGGATTGCTTAAACTTGTATTACACTTTTAAAACATTTTACATGATTTAACATGTGGTAAATGTCTCTCTACTGACGTATTATTCTCTGATGGTTCTCAGACCTGAATTTCAAAAGCCAAATTGAGAATATAGAATCAGCCCGTTATAGCAATTTACTGATCCTTGTATGAACTGTGCTCTCTATGAATGTTGGGACCCTGCAATGAACTCCTACCATGGTCTTGAAGTAAATTTCCCCAATGAATCTGAATTTTATATCTATGAAACTGTCTCCTGTTTTCGTGTGGGATGGTTAGTTAACCTCCCTTTTTATGAAAGAGATAACACTGTGATACGACTAAAAGTGGGCTAGCCTACCCAGTTTCTCGTCCCACCATGAGGTCTTTTACTTGGCTTTGTCTGTCAAATAATTTATTTTAAAATACTACTGTTGGTTATAAATCCCTGGTTGGTTAAGTGCCTAAATACATTTCTGATCTTCTGCCTCATTATGAACCATCTGTCTGGGAAGGGTCATGGCTGAAGGCTTTCTCGTTTGCCTAAGCCCTTTTATGAAATCAGATACCTATTAATTTATTATTACACATAACATTAACTTGTATTCTTGTCTTGTACTCCTGTATTATGATATGGTGAGCTTGTTTTATATAAAGCACTTTTTAATTCCTGAAATGTGCTGTACAAGTTAACCCTGCCTCTAGGAAGGGTTATGTATGTTTACTACATTTAATCGATTTGTACTATATAATCACTGACAAACATGATTAAAGCCCGGGAAAAAGACAAATACCTGTCAAAATGAAGAATGTGTTGCAGTGTGTTTATTTTTGTGCCGGACAGATTCCTTTTTTTCTTACCCCTTTCCATCATCTCGACGATTATTCCCCGACGCCAGCTCATGGCCTTCCTTCTCGCCAGGACACTCATTGTAACCTTGATTGCTCCTAGTGGCGCGCTGGGAGCAGTCTCGGTAACTGTGTCAGACTTTTGGCAAGGAACACTTACTTTCTGTTCTAGGCTTGCTCCTGTCAGCGGAAAAGAAACATAATAGGGCATAAACAAACTGATGACGGTAAATGAATTTATAGTTGCCCATATCATTTTTTTAAAAGAGAGAATAAATGTTGCATCTTATAAATTATGTCTGTAAAATAGATGTTTATGGTGTGCATTATTAATTCAGGTGACTGCGATTGGGCCAATAAGAATTAAGTGTCACCCAATTAAAATTGCAAAAAGAAGATGGATCAGCAAACTGAATGGTCATTGTTTAGGTGTTTCTTTATCTCATACTTCACTTTAAAAGTAAAATATTAGTTCCCCCTTAAAAACAACCATGCCTAATGTTAGAGGGTCAGCCGAAAATAGGTACATAAACCACAAGCTATGTAAATACGTATTTATTTGTTATGTTTTTTTCCATGACAGGATCAATATGACAAGGAATTTATTAGGATTCAAAGTTATTCAATGATCGCAACGTCCTCCGACTGGTAGGGATTTTAATGTTTTTGTGTCCATTACCTTCGGCTTTTGCTGGTCGTGTTGGTGTATTCATTACTGCACTCTTAGCGTCAGTATTGGCACTTGCTTGGGGTGTCTTTACTTCGTTGCTCGTAGCTGCGGTAATTCTGCCATGTTGTGATTTTATTTCACTTTGAAAACATTTTTGGTTGTTATCTCCTTTTCTTCTCCTTTTTGAAGCAGGTTTGCTACTCGAGACGGAAGAATCGGAATCAGAATCATCGGACCTCTGTTTTGGGTCCCACAACTCATCACAATCCGAGTTGTCGGAAGATTCATTTTCACTCAGGTCATCCAGAGGCGTCGGAGGACAAAACATTTTTATCTGATTTTCCGAAAGTCTGGTCAAGACCACCACTAGCTCTTTCCTGATTGAGGGTTTTTTGGATTTAGAAAGTGTTGCAGTGCTCTCCAGCGTTGATTCTACAAAGTATTTAAAAAAAATCACTGGTCAAACAAACTAACTAAAATAAGCCAGTTTATTGGTGAAGCAATTCACAATTAAAAAAAGAGACAAATCCTGCATGAATATTTTAATTTAACAAACAATTTGCATCTTACCACAGCTTGTTGCGTCATCGTCCTCAGAGTCAGTGTCTCTGTAATCCCACCCCAGCAAGGCGTATTGCTTCCTCACAACGGCTTCACATGCCTCCACAGACCTGAACACATTAACAACAAAGACAACACGAATCAAGCAAAGAACAGAAATTGACTGTACTTCAAATACTCAGAAGGGACAGTACTTTTAATAAAAAAATATTATTTTTTAAAACATTACTTTAGTGACCTTGCTTTGTCCCAAAAATCTGTCCAGGATAGGCAGTTTTTTCAGAATGGATGGATGAATTTGAAACACTCTTTATTACAACAGTTTGGAATATGAGGTCTTTCATTTTAAGAACAGATTTAAATGTTTTATGTTTTTGCTGCCTTCATATTCTGAAGTTTTTAGTTGTTTCTCCTGTCAATCCGTCCAATTCGGGCCTCAAAGATTAAAAAGGTTTCCTCTGTGGTTGATTATGTTTAAAAGGGCTTAAAAATAGGTATCAATAATAAGTAGCAATTGGTTGTAACACTCACTCGCAGAGCTTCACGAGTTCGGAAGCCCGTTGTATTTTCCGATCCACCATGGCTTGAATTAGGGTGCATTTCTGCAGCACATCGGACTCGATCAGCTTGTCCTGCTTAACCATTTGTTTAATCCAAGTCCGGAGCTCATCTTTGGTCAGCTCTATTTCATCTGCCTCCATTATCACTGCAACACAAAAGGTCACAAATCATGAGGTAAAGTGTTGTGTTGTTTATTCCAGGAAAGACAAACAACTTCTAAGTTCAACTATTTAATAAAAGAGCAAAATATATACCGGTAGTCACTTGGCAAAGGATTCCGTCAGGTCATAGAAATCGTCTGTAACCACTATTTCCGGAAAAACGTTGAACCTCTTGCGCACATACATTTGATTATTTAGGGCATTGCCCGCGCATTTAATGGTTGATTGAGACTAGAAGGGGAGGACCGTGGATAGACTTTGGCCTCCCTAGTTGGTGCACAGACTTAGTCTGAGTCTCTTGGCAACACAAACTCCAATCAGCATTCGGCCGGCCGGTAAAGGTTCCCTCCCTACTCTAGTCACGCTATCCTACGTAATTTGTTTTGTTGAAGCTGCTTGCAACAGATAGTAGGAAACATCTACTATGCGTAGGCGTTGAGCACACACTGTTCAAGGCCAGAGTGATCTCCTCTTTGTCTCTACAGTATCTGCACCCCTAGTATTTCAACATTTCTAATGCAAGCTAAAACTTTCTTCTATGACTATTCCCTTCGTTTCGTATACAACCCATCAGAACCTGGTATTGGTTGATTGTGTCTATTTTATCCTGTAGTCATAGCAACATCTCATGAGCACAATAAGCATATAATGTAATAATAAGAATCAACCTTGTAATGTTATATAAAAATAGACTCCACAAAAGCTTAAGTGTCCAACAGGGGAGTTTTCTCTAAACATAAGATTGAAATAATGATATTTTGAAGATTGACAAGAATGACTCCAAGAGGATGGACATCACCAGCTCTTGTTCAAAATGACATGCCAAGTTGTGCTCTAGTTTTGGCATTTACTGTACACGAGCAGCTGATGTGATAAGGACAAGAGCCAGCAACAGCATAATACTGTTGAATGGTGAGAGGGAATCGCTGGCAAGGGGGCTACAACTACAAGAAAATGAACATATTTTACCGTGATTTAAATTGTAATACACGTTTCAAAATGATGCCGAATTAACAACATACTGATACCGATCTGCAGACAAGACGGCAGGCGAAAAACCTTTTAAAATGTGTGTCTTCTGAATGGAGATCGAATCGATCAGGCTAAGCTAACGTTGTATATGCTCCGTCCACACTCACAACAACGGCCTACAGACATAAATAAACCAGCGACTGTACTCGCCATGACACAGACAGTCTCTCCGTTTGTACTTGTTTAACTTGTCTAGTTTCTGAACAGATATGTAAGCCTCTAGTGGAAGGGGCTCCGGAGGATACTGACGTTTGGACCAAAAGATGATCCGAAAAGTTATTAAAGATTGTTTTATAGTTGGTTACAGTTTTCATTTTTATAAAAACAATCCACCATAAGCAGCCTTCCTGGGATTATGTCCCTTCTTCTAATAATAGTGATGTCTTTTTCTTTGAAGAAAATGCCAACTCCGTCAGCTCTATTCTCTACATCACAGGTGGTATTCAGTCCAAGTTCCTGCGTAAAGAGGAAGTCATAATTAGTGTCTAATAAATATTTAATTTTCCTCTCTCGAAAGTTCTTAGATTGAATACCACGTACATTCCAAGTTGCGACGTTTATGAAGCTCATATTGGTTCCACTATGATGTATCTACATTTGCCCGTTTTTCATTTTGGTTCAAGTTTCTACTTGCAGGTCTCTTTTTTGAGACCTCAGACGGGGCTTCCCCCTGAGCCTCACTCGGGGGTTCTGGAAATTCCGGAGTTGGTAAAAAAGACCCCGAGTTGCTCTCAGGGGGCGAGTAGAGGGGCATGCTAATTCGCTGACCAACTGTAAGGCTGTCAGGGCTGGAGTCAGAACCTGGGCTTTCGCTCACACTCTCATAATATTTCTCATCTTCAATCTCACTCTCAGAGCTGTACTCGCTCTCTACATCAATAGTTAATCTACCCTCACCTGAATGGGATGGAGAATCGTCTTCAGGAGTTGAAGGCTGTTGATCTTCAGGGAAGCCTTATTGCAAATGGACAAGAATTCAAGACCTATCAGTTAAAAGAAAAACCAGACGTTATTTGTATTCAAGAAACATGGCTGAAGACTAATTTGGACTTCATAATTGGGGGATATACTGCTATAAAACAAGATAGAAATGATGGCCAGGGAGGGGGATGTGCAATCTTTATCAGAGAAGTCATGTCTTATAGTAAGCTAACATTTAGGAACAGTCATGATTTAGAAATAGTGGGTGTAGAAGTTTGGATTAATAAAAGGAAAATTAGTGTCCTGAATTTTTATAATCCATGTAATAAACTCAAAATAGAGGAATTAGACAGTCTTTGCCAAGGAAATGAAATAATATGGTGTGGTGATTTTAATGCACATAATACAATGTGGGGAGGGAGATCAACAGATTACAACGGACAGGTGGTGGAGGATTTAATGGAGGCAAAGGAATTAGTTTGTTTAAATAATGGGCAAGGTACAAGGATCAATTTTAGAGATGGAACAGAGTCTGCGATCGACCTAACTCTTGTAACAAGTGAATTAGCTTCTGGTAGCAGTTGGGAAGTATTGGCAAATAACAGTATTGGGAGTGATCATCTTCCGATTATAATCAAGTTTGATATAAATCATGTGGTTGAGCTAGACGGTATCATGAAATGGACTTTTTCTAAAACAAATTGGGAGATGTTTGCTAAATTGTGCGATAATGAATTGGATCAGATTGATATGGCAGAAAGTATTGATGAAATAAATGAGCAATTTACTTCAAATATAATTAAAAGCGCTAATCAAACTATTGGGAATAAAACTGGGAAACTTGGTAAATGTGTTAAGATGGTACCGTGGTGGAACAAAGAATGTAATGATGCAATCCGAAACAAAATCAGGCTGTTTGGAAAGCTAAGAAAGACACATTCATTACATAATTTATTAGAATATAAAAAGGCACAGGCTCAGGTAAGGAACATTGTTAAAAGAGCAAAAAGGGAGTGTTGGAGAGGATTCTGTTCAAGTATTGGGAGAACTACGCCATTAGATAAAGTATGGGGAATGATTAAGAAGATGAGGGGAATAAGACATCAGAGTAACCTGCCAGTATTAGAGATTGGAGGGGAAGTTGCCACTGGTGCTTTGGAGAAGGCAGAAATTCTAGCTGAAAAGTTTGTCAAAGTTCATTCTTCGGAAAATTTGACAGAAGAAGGTAAGATCAGGAGGCAGGAAGTGTTAGATGAGCATCCTAATGTATATGAAGAAAGACATTCGTCGCAGAGTGTTGTAAATATACCTTTTTCTATTCAAGAGTTGAGAAGAGCATTAAGTAAGTGTAAAATAACTGCTCCTGGGAAAGATAATGTATGTTATATAATGTTGACCAAATTAAGTGATTTTGCATTAGGAAAGCTGCTGGAGATGTACAATAAGATCTGGGAGAAAGGGAAGCTGCCAATAATATGGAAAGAGTCAGTCATTATTCCTATTAGGAAACCTGGGAAAGATCCAACCAGTCCAGGCAGTTATAGACCTATAGCTCTGACATCACACTTGTGTAAAGTTATGGAAAGAATGATAACAGAAAGGCTAACATACTACATTGAGAAAAATGAACTAATGACTCCTTATCAGAGTGGGTTTAGAAGAGGGCGGAGTACTTTAGATCCACTGCTGTGCCTGGAGTCTGAAGTCAGGAAAGCCCAAGCGAACAAGGAGTGTGTTGTAGCTGTATTCTTTGATGTGGAAAAAGCTTACTATGATGTGGAAGGAGGGATTATTAATAAAACTGGACATTATGGATCTGGGAGGTAATGTATATAATTGGTTTATGGATTTTTTGTTTGGCCGTGCCATCAGATTCCGAGTTGGCAAGTCATATTCTCGCAGGCATGAAGTTGAAAATGGAACCCCGCAGGGGAGTGTCATCAGTCCTCTTTTGTTTTCTATCATGATCAATTATATAAGTAGGATCTGATATTGGTAAGGCAGTCCCCCTCTTTCGTCCCTCTCGCCGGCACATTGCTAATTATTCTGTACCTAAGTAGATCAACTGTTTTTTCTGTGTCTGCTTCAACTTGTACTTTCAAGCTTACGTATACGTCTGTGTTGGATATTATACTCGACGGATTCGCGCAGGTTCTCTGGTCCTTCCTCGGTCCGTTGCCTAATCTCTTTATTGCCGGGTACCTCTTCTTTAACTTCGACACCAACTCGCCTCTTGTCACCCTCTTGAACCTCCGTCGATAGACACACTCACTGGCCGCAATCGATGTCTTACATATCGATTGCGGTGTATGTTGTAACATCTTGTCAATCGATAGTATATAGTCCGATATTGATTCGATCGTAACTTATATCATTGAAATGACCCGTCCCTGACAACTATGCTAGTATTGTCTTTGATTACGCGTTCATAGTCGGCTACAGCCAATATTAGTATGTGATCCACACATTCTATGTGCCTATGAACTGCTAGACCGCCTCTTTCCAACACCTCGGGAGGCAACTATACAACCAACATTACGAACTACCTTTCTCCAATACCCTCCAGTGTCGACTAACGTCGTCCACTCACCTCCAACTCCTCGTCCTCACTTCGTGTCGTGTGTTGTTTCTAATCCCCTTTTTGTTTGTGTTTCCTCTGCCGACCCTCGTCATGTCGTTGTCGCAATGGATTAGTGAGGTTTACAAATGCACCACACTCCCCTCTCCTTCTCTCGTCGCTTCCCCCCCCCCCCCCCCCCTCGTCGTTCTTATTATGCAAAGGACGCGACCCGTCTCACACACTGCCCACCTACGTTCAGTGACCCTTCGTACGACCCAAAAAATGAACCCTATAACAACGTTCCGACCATAACAACGTTGGACGTGTTTGTGTTATGACGTGGTACTTAATCGTTTACCACTTTATGTTCTTTTGTGGCCTTTTTATGTCGGATTTTTTTGGCGAGTTAGTTTGCTTGAGATGTATGCCGCCAGGTGCTCTCGCCGTCACGGGGACGCAACTACACATTATCGGTAACGTCACGGAATCGTAAACCCCGGGTTTAAGCGAGGGAAAGGGAGACTTCAAGGACGCGGAATACAGAGCATGGTGTATAGTTGATAGGGAGTAAGTGCAAAAAAGATTAAATTAAAAGTCTCGGTTCATAATTCGTATTTACATCTTTTTTATTGTGGAGCGTTCTACGAGAAATTCCCAAAGGGTAATTACAGTGGTCGCGATGTCTTAAAAAGATCGACGTGTGAGGGTGTGTCGTGTGTGTCACATGGCGCTGACAATGTTACTCCGAGTTGATGAGTCGAGTGCCGTATGTCGACATTCGTCCCATTCACGATAAAAATGTTCACCTCACCACAGGAGTGGAGGAGATCTCCCAGGAGTGAAGGAGGATCACCCCAGCCCCGTTCGAGGGCTTCCTTCTAAAAAAAAATTTATAACTTCAATTTTCGTAGGTTAGACCACGGAAACTCTCGTTTTACTTTCTCTAGATACCTGATGTAGAGAGTTGCTGTATTTCTTTGTATTGACATTTTTGTCTAAAAGATAAAGAAATATCTATAAGAATGTTTTTAGGGAAAATTTTTGTTTGGAAACTCTGGTGACTGTATGTGATCTGATCTTCACTGAAATTGTGACTCGTCTCAAAATGAGTGGACTCAATAGACTTGAGGGTCAGGACTGACCCGCTCTTCAAGAGGAGGGGGTGAACACAACTTGTTCTGTGTTTTCGAGCAGGGTGTGTGTGGGGTGTGTGTGTGTGTGGGTGGTGGGTGGTGTGGTGTGTGTGTTGGTGGGGGGGGGGCCCTCGTGGTTACAGCGGCTAGGGGAGGTGCGAAAGGTCACCAAACTAACTCACAGGTGTGTACCTGCAATATACTCCTGATTTGTTTTGATAGTTAAAGAGGAAGTGTAACGACAATCCGGTTTTAAACCGCGAAGATCGATTGTCCCTTCAGTACTTCACAGTTTCATTCAAGTCGTGTTTTTTGTGTATAAATAACCCCCAACGAATCCCCCACGCACCAGTTAGGACCTTCCCCCGAAGTTTTCGTGGGGGATCGAGTGGGACGGCGGCGGGACGACGCCCTGTGTGTGTATATAGGAAGAGATCAGCGATTTACTCCTTTTTATTTAATCCCGGTTTCAGAGATAAATTCTCCGGATATTTATTCGTCTCGTTTTGTTGACTTGCAGCCAGGCGACGTAGATGGTGACATGTTGTGTGGCATTGGTGATGTATGTGGTGGTGGGAATGTGAGGCATGTTGTGTTGGTTAGTTGTACATGTTGTGTTGTGAGTTGTCATATCAACAAAATCTATAGTGATTTGATTTCGTTTTACTTCGTTCCTAATCCCGACAATATAACTCACATCATAGGATAATATGTTGCGAGACGAAAAGACCGTGTGGGAGTGTTCGGAAAGGAGATTTCGGAGTTAAGGGGTTTATGGAGAGCCCTGAGAGAGAAGGGAGGAGGCCCTGAACTGGGCCTTTAGGCTAGTTGCTGTGCGGGTAAAAACTCCTTTGCGGGTTATCGGGACTTTACGTGGCCTCCTCCAGCTCTCTTTCCCCACTCCCCTCCTCCCCCCCACGCCCTTCCTCTTCTTTCCCTCCCTATTGTGGCGCTCGTCTGGATGCGCCTTCACAAAAGTGGTGAGCGGGAGGCTGGAAGTGGGACAGCTAAAGTTGTCTCTTTTGGTTGTTGACCTTCTACTCACCTTTTCGCAGTGTATTTACTATCAGAGTGTCGAGGCACCCTTAATAAGTACACGTTTAAGTAAAGATTTTCCGAAGTGTAAATGATATTAATATAACATGAAATTTACATGCCGGGATGTAAAATGTGGTTTCGATTGTGTTTTCGTCTGTGGTAGTTATGTGACCTTAAGGAGGCTATTGTTCTCTTTTCTAATTAAGTAAATTTTATATATAATTGCGTCTTTTTACCGGGCAGATTTCCCATTAAGTTCAATTCGGGCTACTCTCCCCTTATGTCGACAAGCGTACACGTACTAATTGTGTGCAACATATTCTCAACTGGAAGCTGAGTTGGCCTCCTGTAGGGTTAATTATACTGAGGTTAGACCAACCGCAGTATTGGTGTACAAACGAGTCGAGCTAGGTTGAGAATGCCTCCGCCTTCGATTATATGTTACTTGCCTGCGGTCAGTTGTTTCACTCCTACTCTTTGCCCCTTAACGCTACTTGATTAGATTTGTAGCTTCAGCGACTACTTTATTTTATTATAGGTCGCTTACGTACGTTCTCGGACAGTATGTGAGTCTCTACGTCATCCGTCACCTTTGCAGGTGCAGTGTGACAGACTTTGTAGGACATGGGTCTTTATGTTGGCGTTTCCTCGTCACCCTCCTCTCACTATCCTGGTATGTCACATAGGAGCTAATCTCGATGAGGTCTACATTTGAGTGAGCATGCGGAGGTCATGAACTTCAAGTAAGTCCTTGTATTTCTACAGCGTGTTGTACGTCGGGCTTTAAGGTAACAGGTCCAGTAATGGCCTCCTGCTCCTCAGGTGTACACTCAACTACTTGCGTGTTACGTCTTCCAGGGACTATATACAGACCAGGAAAAGGTAACTTAAACTGGATGTCATACTAATTAGATGGTAACCTCCACAGTTGTCTACGGACTTATCACTAGTGCGGCAGCTGAACAGGTAAGAGTAGAACTGCCAACAAGGAAGAGATAAAGGCTTTGGTGTGTGAAGAAGAAAATCACAAGAACGAAGAGTGAAGTTGAATAGAACATGACGAAGCAGAATACGCACTAAAGACGAATTCTTGGAGACATCTACATGCTTATCTAAGATCATCCTTGGTATATTGGCCGGGTGGATGACAACTCAATAATTGACAAGGATACTTTAGGAACCAGAGTCTGGTAACGAAGACTTTTTAACGTCTAGTCGAACACAACGAGTCAAGAACTAATGAAAGGATATATCACTAACTTTATGTTACAGGAACTACATATCAACTAGGTTCACGTACTAAAAGTCTTTACGTAAGATACAGACTATATTAGTCCCGTCAGATATGTTACGTACGACATAACCGGTGAATCACCGACCGTTCGGGGTATTGTTAATTTTGGGAAAATGTAAATAGAGTTAGCTATAGTTACACTCAAATGAGGTACTGACAGGGTTATATAGGTCTACAATTACGAGAAAGAGAAATCTAGAACAGGTATTTCAAAATGGATTGGAGGAGGGGATAGGAAAAGGAGCATTTTTTTTCAAAGTCAAACAAAGTGGCGGTATTAGATTTGCGGGTACAGGCGAACTGTTGTTAAAGGCATTACTTCTAATCGATGTTATATAAAATGTAAAGACGGGGAAAAGGTTTATCGAGGTAGTAGACNAAATAGTGTAAATAAAGACTGTAACAGCCAGGCCTTCAACAACAACAAATGCACCTATAAGTTTGGTAACCTAAGGTGTTGTTGTGATGACGTAATCAAAACGCGGCGACAAGCACGGCGCGCGACCATGCTCGCGGCTGGCTCACAGCCAACATGTCTGCCGCTTGGAGATATTTCAAAATATCAGAGAAAGAGGCGCGGATTGCGATTTGTAAAACGTTTTCAGCTGACATTTCTCGAGGGGGTGTAACTGCAAAGACTTTCACCACTTCGGGATTACTCCACCACTTGAAATCAAAACACCCGGACAAATATGCGGAGTATGATCAACGTAACCCTGTTCTCTGACATTCTGTGATATTTTTTCGGTGCTAAAACCCTTTCGGCCGAAAGCCGAAAAGGTATTTTTAACCATTTTCGGCCGATAATCTTCGGTGGCCGAATATTCGGTGCATTCCTAATTACCCTCTCAAAGAACCGAATCGAGAACCAAAAATGAATGGAATCGAAAAGCAGAACCGGAATCGTTAAAATCCAAACGATACCCAACCCTATGTGTGATGCAGTAAAATCTTACCGCTCACTTACGTTAGCGGTGTCGTAAAACCGTGGGAAAATGTAAAATACGATGGAGAAGAAGAAGATTCGAGTGGCCCCAATTTGGGTCCATTCTGGACAAGTGAAAAACTTATTTGGAAAAGTAAATTGCCAAACTCACTTGTCCATGGACGAGTACTCTCTAAAAACTTTTTCTCACACTGTTAATACTCACATATTTGAGAATGATGTCTCCTACACTCTTGTCATCTGACCAGTCTGTCAGCAGATCTTCCAGGTCACCCTTATGAATAAACACAGTGAAATAATTAGGTCAACAGTTCCTCTTCAAGATTAAAACCATCACAATATTTTGTTTGAAATGTGTATGAGTTGAGGTCACATTACCTTTATTCTAGTGTGAACATCGTGGATTTCTGGGATGCTGCCAAATATCGTCTTCATTTCCTCCTGAGCCAGGATGGGTCCGCCCACCTGCTCCTCTTTTTCCAATGGAATCTTGAAAAGCTGCAAATAAAAAACAGACATGAGAGAAGTGCAGACACATTAAAACTGCAGTAAAGCATAAATGATAACACATGTTCTGTTTGGAGAGTTAAGATACACATCCATGTTTTCCACTTGCAGTATTTTCATTTTTCTATCTTTACATGATGTAGCATGTCTTGATTCTGTCAGTCAACAACAGGTTAGCAACTGACTTCAGTTTCACTACTCTCATTCAGTAAGTGTGAAAAATAAGGGGAAAAGGGCATATTGCCTCTTTTTTAGTTGCCACAGAGAGCCCATAAACAAATAACTGACTGAAATAAGACTGTAACAGGACCTCAAGATGTCACAATTATAGAAGAACAGATGCTGTTTTATCACTATGTTAAGACAGGATGGTTACTGTGTAGTGGCTTAGTATCATCCATTTGCTTAAATATAGGATGTACATTTGACATTGCATTCTTGACAGTTGAAAAATAAGCAGCTGGATTTAACTGTAACTGAGTTCCTAAAATTGTGCTCAAACCGACTCCTACAACAAAGTCACACTGAGACAGTGAAACTATAGGGCAGAGCTCTTTACAGGTCTGCCTGGTGCATAGCAACAGAGACCGAGCCAGGGGCATGACAAGATGTTGAACTATTTTAAGGATGTGTTGTATTTCTCTGGGGGCTGGGACTTGTGTGTCAGTATGAGTAATACCAAAGCGGGTCCAAGTGAACACGCCATAAGCTCTGAACAAAACACTCTGTTCTTTACATTACAGAACAGAGTGTGTATTTAAGACAAGATGGGAAATTGCAGAACTGCAGTGTAAAATGACATGATCGTTTTAATGTTCTTTTATTGGTGCTACAGGCATGATGCGCCAGCTGGGAGACGATGACATTTGGTGGCTTGGTATAATCCTACTCTTGGTCATTTGGGATCCCATACAGTATAACCTTTAATATTTTATGCTCTTTTCATATTCTGTGAAAAACAATAAATGTCCCAGGATTAAATAAATACACTTTTATTTATGAGGGAAAAAACTAGTGGATAACAGGATTTGGCTCTCTCACTGTACAATGTTAAGGCCATACACACATTGGCAGTCTACCTTTGTTTCTGTTGTGTTCAGATGAATTGGCAGGCTACTGTCTTATTAACATGGGCCTATATTATCTGCTGCCTCACCATTTGGTGTGTTCCTTTTTTGTATTCATGCCAGATAATTCCATAAGACCGTAACCGTATATATCAAGATAAAGTTAAAATCAGGTGGCCTTTTGTGAGTAAAGAACAGTTAAAGCTAGTAAAAAAAACAACAAAAACACAAGACAGGTGATAAGAGAGGGAGATGGAAAAACATGCACCATAGATGTGTGAGGCAGAAAGGGAGTGAGTGTAGAAAGGCTAAATGAAAGGGAAGTTCAAGAAAGATAATGAAGAAAAAACACTTTAATTTGTAGTGTAGAGAAAGAAATGGTCAGGCAGGGTTTTGTATCCCTCACTAGGGAGCTGTCTGACTCTCTGCTGGGAATAACTGATAAAACAGGCCAAGTGAGGGCATGCAAACACGCACACCTTTAATAATGGTAGCTTAGTCTCAAGCTGTTGTCAGTGGCAACCGACTGGCCCACCTGTGAGTGAGTGTTACAATTGCCCACATTGTGTGAACACATCCACACACCTGTAGGATGGTGTTTAAAATCTCCACATAGTTGCTCTCAGTCTGGTAGAGCTCCTTGGAGACCTGCCACCTGGCTGACTGCTTGGAAACAACCGGAGTGGAACTCTTGGAAGGCTTTAAGCTCTCTGGAGGAAAAAGACAGCGGGGGAGGAAGACTAGTTGTTAATATTGCACTGATGCAAGGGCAGACACTGCCATGTTCCAATGTTACTTTTTAAGCAATTGGAATGAAACGTGAGCTGAATTTAAGTTACAAATTGTAATCAATTTTCATTTAGAATTCAAAAAGGTTATGTCTGTAGTTCACACAATGGGCCACACAGTATGAAGGCACAGTCAACTGGGATGTGGTCATCTGGTTACTGAATAACATGGAATGCAGTAGGGTTGGGGTTCAACATCAATTTTTTCTTTCAAATCCTTTAAGGGATTTATTGAGGTCAAGTGGACTTTAGATTTGATGAATCATGTACTTTTTTACGACAGGACTTTCATTGGATTTGTAATGAGTATGATCATAGGGTCAGTTATAACATTAGGGGTGTATGAAAATATCAATATTGTTTTAATTCATTTATTATTTATACAAGTTTGGTTTGCTTAGGTTTTTTTATACGATGACTTTTCTAAAATGTAGGTTCTGTTTTTTTATTATCATACATTGAATTGTAAAACCTTTTATACATACAGTATTGTGAGGCAGATTCTCGCTTATACAAAGCCATTTTAACAGTCCAACTGTAATACATACGTAATAAGAAACGGACAACAGACAAAACTGTAGTTTAACATGTGTAAATAAGCAGACTAAACTACATCCGACCCTAATAAGGTGTGTCATTTTAACCACTGTTTGTACAGGCTAAAAGCAGGGAGCCTGCTACAAACATGTGTTATACACTAGTTTGAGTAAATTAAAATGAAGGGGAGATGTGTTAGAATCTGAGGTCAAATGGAACCAGCTATCAGAACCCAACCCTTACCCTAAATGTGTTTTTGTTGTAATCTTAATTGTCTTGGTAAAAAACTTTTCATCATCTATTTTTTCATCAAATATTATAGGAACAAATTTAACGATACAAGGAATATGTAAATATGGAACTGAAGATTTTTCCAGTCATCTGAACGAACATCCTAGGAAATTAGGGAATGCTTCAGTTTATACCTGTTAAGTTGCTATGTGACATATTGGATGAAGGAAACAGCCCAAAAGCTCCTCAGAGGTTGTTTTTTTAAAAAGCATGTAGGGGTGCAACAACTAATCGACTTAATCGATTAAAATCGATGACCAAATTAGTTGCCAACTAATTCAGTCGTCGATTTGTTGGGTCTACACTGTATGTTGTTACTCTCTGTTTGCGGAGCTGGCTCACTCTAAAAAATGGCGGAGGCATGGAGAAGCACGGTCCGACTAAAATATTCACTTTAAACAACAGTAAAAAAGTGTGTTACCTGCAAACTGTGTAAATCGAACTTGCATGGCACGGGAGCACTACAGTGCTGCGGGAACATCTCAAACGTAAACAAAAAACACCCGATCAAGATCCCTCCGCTTCGAGTCGGTCTCTGTGATCATACCGTCGGGTTTTTTTTCTTCCAATAATGACCGGCTCGCTGCACATGATCCGGCTTATTACATGGCCAAATACTAAACAAAGTAACAACTAACTTGACTTATTTAAACTATGCCAATTTATTTTTTCAGTTATTTTAGAGCTTTTGCAAATTTGCAGAAAATAGGTTGGGTTGAGACACAGTGTGCTGTATTTATGTGTGTGTAAGAACTGCAGAGACAATCTACCTATTTGTTGTAACAAAGCCTGTTAACACTTTTTGTTTGTGATTCACAATTTTATTTTTTATAATTTTATAATCTTAAATAATGTATTATTATTTATAATGGCTCAGGTCCATTATAGCATTCAAAAGACAAACAAAAAAACTGAGCAACCTACAGAGACATATTTTTTGTTAAAAACAAGCTGTTATATAGCTTTTGCATATGTTTTATAGCCTACATTTGGGTTGTTTTTGTGTGTTGATGTTGTCAATTTGGAAATGCAGTTTTCTGAATAAAATAATTGAAACCATTTTTTTTTTTTGGTGCCTTTTTTATCCGATGAATCGTAGAAATAATCGACAGGTTAATCGATTATCAAATTAGTCGTTTGTTGCAGCCCTAATGTGAGGTCAGGTGATACTGCACACGTCCCTGCTCATGTTGGTACTCCATTACTCTCAGCTGGCCGGGGTATAATTCAATCCCAAATGTTTTCAGATCCACTGGTAAAACTATTATAGGATTCTTCTATCATCCACTTCATATTAGCTTTGAGTTGGACTCTGTTCTGACGATAAATACATGTAACCCTGAAGCAAAGCCTGACCTGAGGGTCCTGTCTGCTGCTCCTCATCTTCTTGTTGTTGTTGAAGAGTCCCCAGGTAGGACCTCCTCCTCTTCTCTTCCCTGTCTGTCCTACTCCTTCTTTCCCTGGTTCTCCTCCTTCTCATATTATTCCTGGCAACAGCATTGCTCTCTGAACTGTTCCCTACTCTGTCTTCTGAAATAGAGATTAGTTGATCTTGTTACTGCTTTCCTTAAAACTATATTCTCAGTTATTTTGCTTTTAATACATACAAGAAATGGTATAACTGTCACTGAGAAAATAAAACTGATTAAGGGACGGATGGAGAAGGTGTTTTATAGTCAACCGTCATTTCTCTGTTACCTGCCAATGCCTTGCAGGTGTCGGGGGTGTTGGAGATGTCCAGCAGAGAGCCCATGGGCAGGGAGTGCTCTGCTGAGGGTCTCTTGCGTGGGGGGGGGAAGGGAGAGATCTCCGTCTCCTTGGTGAGCTGAGCCAGCGTGTCCCTGAGACGCCGGCGCTTGCGGTTGCTGTTGGGGGTGGTGAGGGACAGCAGGGACACGGCCTTCTTCATGGCCGGGCTGTCGTTCTGATCGCAGCGGGACAAAAGAAAAAAGGACAATATAGTAAGAGAGAGTGAAAAGGAGAAGCAACATGAATACACGGAGTATCTCTTGAAGATGATGATGAAACCTGAATCAGAAACTCTTAAACAGTTATCTGTGAGGAAGGCAAATAGAGAATATATATAGTTTTTTTATATTATGTATAAATCTTGATTCATGGTTGTGTAAAGCTGTTGTCCAATTCTTATAAATTGAGATAAAGAGAGATACTCCTTTTGCCGTTCATATAATGTGAGTGTTTATACATTTGGCTTGAAATAATATTCATTTAGTAACAACACCCATAAATAGAGGTGGCCGGATTTTGCACGACTGTCGCTTTGCTACGACACACACACACACACACACACACACACACACACACACACACACACACACACACACACACACACACACACACACACACACACACACACAA